AAAAAAAAAAAAAAAATGCTTGCAATACCTTCCAATATTGACGCAGAATTCATATCATTATGATCTTAACAATTCAAACTCTACACAGTCCAGAGCAACAATCTGGATTGGTTCTCCATAATTCTTCATATAAAACATTTCCTGAGTTATAACAAAAATGAGAAGTTTGATTATCTATTTGATATCTCTTTTAATAAATTTTTGAAGTAACCTCCTCCCTTCAAAATATATTGAATGGAAGACGGTCTTTTCTAGAAATCTTCTACAACTGTGTGTAGACAACCCCAATTGGTGCTAGCTAGCAAACTCCAGAAATACTATAATGTTGAATGCAGAGATCCTTAACAAAATGCCCCTGCGACGCTACTCAAAATTGTGCAAAACCTAGGACACCATCTCTGTTAAGAGACAAAATCTTCAACATCCTTCATAAAAAACTCTCATCCTATGCCTCACACAAATTTCCCTCAGTCTAATAGAGGCAAAGTTTTTTAAACTACAGTTTGACCCCAGTAGACCAAACTTGGTGTGCATCTTGTAATCAAATGACGACGAACAGGACGGCAAATGAAAATCTTCACAAAACTACTCAAATACACAACTAGAATAATAACTACACAATAGGAAAAAAGTCTGGCCTCTTTTTGTTTGAGGATAACATTTCTTTCAATTAACCAGTGTTTTAAATAGTAAATATACAATACAATTGTCATATAAGTTGTTTTTACTTGTTCTTATTTTTCCTCTTCTTGCTTTGTTTAAGGTTACTTTGGTGGCATTCTTGTTTGTTTTTTTGGTCCACTTTGTTTGAATACTTGACACCCTGGGTTTGTTTACTTAATCAGCACTCGTTGGAGCGCTAAAAAATAGATCACCGATCGGCCTCAGTGACGCACTTGAATGTCCGCGTGTACGTTTCCCTTTGCACACGTCGTACGTATGTTTGTTTTTTTTTTCGCCACTGATTCCAACCAAAATGGCACTTCTGTCCGTGTTGTCTGTCAATCCACAGAAGTCCCTAACTTAAAAGTCCTTTGTTCTTCAGTTTTCACAGGGCACCCGTGATTTGCACGCTAGATTATCAACACTAGGATGATGACGAAGATGATGCTGGGAGCCCAGTGCTGGGGAAAGAAAAAAAAAAAAAAAAACTTCCAGAATAACATAAAATGACCTGGAGTAAAGAAACAACCCACTTGTTTCCTATGTCTTCACACTTCTGAACAGAACGTGTTTTCCAAATCTACTTTGTTCTTTCCAGATGAAATTTTTGTCCAATCTTGGAATCCTCTCACGCTGAAGAAAATGCGATTCCAATCACAAATGGGTTGTTGATCCTTCAATAACTGACATCTCTGTCCATGAGGCAGGAGAGGGTCAGGGACAGAGAGCGAAAGAGGAGGGGTGACGCAGGATGTCAAACAATCATTTCTGACTTCACACAGAGAAGAGCGCCAGTACGCTCCCCATCCTGTACTGAGAATACGAGATCAAAGTATGCACCAAGCTATGCCACAAAAGGCAGCATGATCACCGGTAAACTTCCTTATATAAAATGTCATGCCACCCAGTTGAAGAGAGCAAGGGGTTAAAGTCAAAACTCCAACTATATATATTTCAACTTGTGATCATAATGGCCTTCTTAGTTTCCTTCTTTGGCCAGCAGAACGGTTGCACAAGACGAAAGTCTTTAAAGCTTAAAAAGCTTTTTTATGCTTTTTTTTCATCCCAAATGAGACACTGACCCAGCTGAAGAAGGAACTGAGAAGATTGCACAGTACTTCCAAATGTAAACAGCTATGGATCGAGTAAAGAGGGGGAGGGGGGGAGGAGGGGTGGTGCAATAAAAACACTGGTCTAAACGTCTGTTATCCCCATCTGTAGTGGTTGTGCTCTCGTCCCTGTTCAGCTGCCCCACCAGTCAGTAGATGGCGCTGCTCCAGTGTTGTAGGAGGAGCCACCGTATGAGCCACCATAGCCTCCATAGGCCATCTGATAGGCCATGGGGTTGAAGGCAGGTTGCTGCATGGCATTGGGGGCCTGGTGCTTGTTGCCACGCTGGTGCTGCTGGCGATAATCCCTGGACCCAAAGCCACCACCAAATCTGAAAGTGAACAACAATGTAATTATATATGTGCACAGCACAAATACTACTGACAAGGCATGCTGCATCACTCTGGAAGCTTATCTGTCTGAGAGGTTCACATGGCCTACACTCAAAAATAAAAGCCTAAAAATTTGTTTATTTGCCAGAATTTCTGCTTCCAGCTGGTTGGTTTTAATCTTTTTGGCACAGACTGCATGAAATTGGATACTATGCATATTCAGCTACAGTAACCACAAGTCTGATCTAATCTACTCGTAAATTTGCTCTTTAGGTTTTTTTTTTTAACTTCAGCCACTGTTTTAAATCCCCCCTTCATCTAGGCAAATTCCTTTTGCTTTCTTTCAGCTACAGTCAGTCCCAGTTACTGGTTTACAAACATTACCAAACACAAGGTTAAGAGACTGTTACCTCTTGGGTCCTCCCCTGCGTGGTCCTCCTCCCATGCGGCTCTCATAGGACATGGACTCCAGCCAGGAGGGGACTTCTTGGTGGGCTTCCACTAGCAGATCCATCAGGTCACGCACAATGTTCTTGTTCTTCTCGTGGAAGAAGGAGGTGGCAAGACCTGGTCGACAAAGAGAGACAGAGAAAACGTGAGAAGCACCCTCCTTTCATACGCTTTCCCTCTCAAATATCATACTCAGATCAATGTGTGGAAATAAGTAGTTTTCAATGAAGATTCAATGAGTTAAAGATATACCAGGTTTATCCATTCTCAAATACGTATATCTCTTTCATCAAACCAAAATGCCTAACATTCACAGAAGAACGTAACTCAAGTTAGTAGGCAGTAACTTTTTATCTCCCCCCAACATAAAAGAGAGAGAGAGAGACAGAGAGAGATGAAACTAAATAGGAATGCTTCCCTAAAATTGAGGTTGGAGAGAGAGAGAGAGAGAGAAAGATGATAATCATACCCAGGTTTCCCACTCTCCCAGTACGCCCAATGCGGTGGACGTACTCTTCGATGTCACTGGGCAGATCAAAGTTGATGACGTGTTTCACATTGGGGATGTCCAGTCCACGGGCAGCAACCTGGTGATTATATCATTGGAAAATACAACTGATGCTTACACACTATATTAAATAGCCTTTATTGCCTATCATAATTATTCAAACTCCACCGTTGTTTTGCGGGGAACAAATATGATATCAACAGTTCAAGAGGCCTCTATTTATAAATAATTAGATACATTGTCAGTCAAGATCAGGAAGCCACGGGCAACAATCTGCAGTGAACACCATTGGAAAATATAACTGAGGCTCACCCACTTAAAAAAAAAAAAAAAAAAAAAAACTTGAAAATTTAGTCAGTCTTGGAAAATTTTATTGGAAGACAAATCTCTGATGACATTTTCTTTTCACTTCAAAAACTTTGTCAAACTTGAAAATGGGCCACTTGATAATTTTGAAAAGTTTGTCATCTAATATTGTCGTGTCTGATTCATGCAATTTAAAATATTTATCATTTTAACGTGAGACACGGCACCTAAAAATAGGGTCTCTGGGAGTCAAAAATCAATTTTCAGATTCTTTCATTTTCATCTTCCTAAGTGTGTATATTTTCGGAATAAACAAGTCTAACAACCAAATTGAAAGCGTAAGAGCCTTATTTTTGCTCATTTTTATGAACAAGGTTGAAAAAAATTCAAAAATATGATCAGGTTATCTCGTAATTAGCGCAAATTGACGCTCCTCAAACTCCGGTATCGATGCAGGAATCGTGTTGTATTTGGTATGGCATGAGACGTCAATCACTCGTTGTGCCAGCCCATATGCCCATATATGGCTGCTATAAATAGAATTCGCGCGAAAAGTGGTCAATTCCAGTGAATTTTTGGCTCAGTCGGGCTTGCCGATGCCTGACGGAAAAATATGCATGTCAATTTCGAATCTGATTGGATTAGCGTAGCCACGTGACCGCTTCGGGCAGTTCCGTTCCTAGCAACGCCTCGAGGTCGATTGCGTCATTTCTATTGTGCGAGGCACTTAGAGAACAATAAAGGTGAATAAAGGTGAATATTTCACGTTTTTTAACAATGCCTAAGGTTAAAAAAGTTACGCTGAGGCGGAATAAACAACTAGCTGCAGCTAGAGAGTTACGTAATGCACAAAACGAAAGTAAAACGGGGACAGTTGAGGGAACATCGCGACGGAAGATAACTCGCTGTCGTAGTAGCACTAGTAGTAGTAATTTTGACTCATGTGTTAACAATACTGCCAATACTAATTCTCAATCAAATATTTGCAGGTCGATTATTGATATTGCTCAACTTAATGACCTTCTGTCTGATTTGTTGTGTCCTCAGTGCTCTACTGACACCCTGAGTGTAAACATAAGTGGGCAGAGCTATGGGTTCAGTAATCCTTTGCAAATAAAATGTCACACCTGTCAATTCAAGAAGGAGGTATTTTCTTCTAACAGAATAGGAGGGTCTACAAGTCATAATGTTGGGTTTGAGATCAATGACCTTATGGTACTCTTTGTACATGAGTTAGGTGCAGGTTATGCAGCCCTGGAAAAATTTTCTCAGTGTCTTGGGGTATCTAATATGCATCTCAAAACATACCAAAAAACAAACAAAATAGTTTCTCAGTCACACATAGCTGAGGGCAGCAGAGTGTTGGAAGAAGCAAGGGAGATGGTAAGATCTGCTTACATTGAGCTTAATCCTGATCATGATCCTCACAACCCACTGGATATAATGGTAAGTTTTGATGGCACTTGGCATAAGAGGGGGTTTACATCTAATTATGGGGTGGGAACATGCATTGATGTCCTCACAGGATATGTAATCGATTATGAAGTGCTCTCAAAGTACTGTCATGCATGTGCCATTAGTGAAAATAAATTGAAAACAAAGGTAATAACCCAACAGCAGTTTGATGAATGGATGGAAGAGCATGTAGAAGATGACCAGTGCTCGAAGAATTTTGGAGACTCTTCTAAGGCCATGGAGAAAGAGGCAGCTCTTCGCATATGGAACAGATCTTTGCAGTTTGGTTTGAGATATACTGAAATGCTGTCAGATGGAGATTCTGTGGCCTATTCAGCAGTTTGCCATGCCAACCCCTATGGAGACGTGACCATATCAAAACTGGAGTGTGTGAATCATGCACCTAAGAGAATGGGCACTGCTCTGCGGGAAATGTCTAAAGAAGCGCGTCTAGGAGGCAGAGCACCAGGAGCTCTCACAATAGTTAAATGCCAGAAACTACAAAATTACTATAGGGGTGCTATTTTAAGTAATCTCAGTGATCTCCCTGCCATGAAGAATGCCATATGGGCCACTTTGTTCCACTCCATGTCTACTGATGATGGCCCACATCACAGCAGGTGCCCCATGGGTGAGGACTCATGGTGTTTTTATAACCGAGCAATAGCCAAAGGGGAGGAACCCCCACCACATGAAGGGAAAAACTCCACCTACTTGTCTTACAAATCAGCCCAAGCCCTTGTGCCTATCTATAAAAGAATGACTGATGAGAATTTGCTAAAAAAAATGGCCCATGGAAAAACAAGTAATGCTAATGAATCCCTAAATAATCTCATCTGGGTTCATTGCCCCAAAACCGTGTTTGTTGGCAAAAACAGAGTGGAGTCTGCAGTTGCCCAAGCTGTAGGTAAGTTTAATGCACCTAGCTCAAGTCATGTTAAACATGGCTATAGAACCAACAGAAATCTGCATGGCCTCTCTGGCTAGGGCAGATGAGCTGCGGATGAAAAAAAGTGACCTGCAAGCGGACCACCGGGCTTGCCAGGAGAGGAAAGCCAAAAGCAAGCAGAAGAAAAGAAGTTTAGCTGAGCAGGAGGCCCAAGAAGGACCAACATATGCAGCAGGGGCATTTTAAATGAATAATAAAGTTCTATGAACAAAATGTAAAAGTTTGAAAATAAATTGATAAAATAAAATATAATTACTATAAATAAACATCCTCAGGTGTGGAACCATGACAAATCCTGATCCAAATACAGTTTTTAGATTTTTTTTTTTTTTTTCATAAACATCACAAATATATGCCTTGGGCTTTGCAAATGATTTCCTCTTTATTCAGTGGTATCAAAAATATAAAAAAACATGGATTAAGACTTTAAAATATTGTTACTGTGCATTTATTATGTAAATAAAACTTTAAAATGTAAAAATCTCGAAATTGCGTTTTTGGTCTGAATCGTAAAATTTATGAGCTTATATCTTAGAATTGGCTTGTTATATCTGAATAAAACTTGAAAAATATGTGTGTTGTGCTTCTTTCTTCATTTTGTCAGAAGGAATTTTTATTTGAAAGTAAAAGGTCAATTCTATAGGTAATTTTGTAGCGGTGACCGCTACAAAAAACTTTAAAAAATTAAAAAATTCAATTAATTTTATAATTAATGTATAATTTGAGAATTCCTTCTGACAAAATTTATTTTAAGTTGTTTTCTGCAAAAATAAAAAAACAGAATTAAAAAAGGTGTTATGGTTTTTGAGATATAATGATTTTAATTTTTCCCAAAAAATACGCATAATTAGCCTAATTTGCATAATTAACCTAATTTGCATATTATAATGAGCTTTTAAAATAGTTAATTTTAATTTTTTTCATCATACCCAGACATTTGGTAAACATTTTGAGGTGTCTCAGCTAGGTCCAAAAATCCCAATTTTTAGGTGTAGAGCCTCACCTTAAAG